TCTCAGGCCTCACCAGCTCTGCAGATTGCAACAAGTTTGAGCTCTGCAATGTGGTAGTTGACACTCCCCATCTACAAATGTAACAACCTCCTTTTTGCAGCCTCCAAAAAGAAGGCCTTCCAGGATCAAGCTCTTTGTGTGATTGTCTTGGCAGGATTGCTGTTTGATATCTTTGAGGACTCAGAAATCCAACATCTGTTTGGAATGGTTTGCACTGAGGCCAGTCCAGTCAGTATGGTCTGAGACCCTAATAGGGTACCAAAAGTGGTCATTTTTTAGCCTTAAGAGGGTCCAAGACCACTCAGTGGTCTCAGACCATCCACCTTTTTGGGCACAACCACCCATCCCAAATGCAGTAGCACACCCTATTTTGAGTGTTGAAAAGGGTGGTCTTGACCATTTGTTGGCCTTTGGTTGCAACCACCCTGTGATCATGCATTTGTGATTGCTCCAATTAGCCTTGTGGACTGCTTGTATGGGCTGTTCAGCTTGTAGATGAGTACAATGGGGGTGCACCCAGCCCATCCCAAGAGGGGGATGCTGTATCCAGCCCCAGGGCTGGCTATAGGCCAGGGATTTTTTTCTTCTCAAATGCTCCAATTAGCCTTGCGGGCTGCTTGTATAGGCTGTTCAGCTTGTAGACAAGTACACTGGGGTGCATTATAATTATACCGAGTGGAGGGTGCTGTATCTGGCCCCACAGCCAGCTGTAGGCTGGAAAAGAAAATCACCCTTTGCTGGCTCAAGTGGGTGGTTGCAACCACCACAGGGGCTGGATGTGGTCAGAACCATCCTGTCCTCATGCATTTGTGAATGCTCTGTTTACCCTTTTAGGCTGCCTGTATGGGTGTTTCAGCTTGTATATAAGAACATTGAGGGTGCATTTAGTGTATCCCCACAGACAGATGCTGTATTTGAGGCCACAGCCAACTATAGGCTGGAAAAGAAATACTTTGTGAATGCTCCAATTACTCTCATTGGCTGCTTGTATGCGTGTTTGACCTTGTATAGAAGTACACTCAGAATTGCTCATTTTTGGCACATTCTGGGAAACTTGGCCAGGATTGGAAATCAACATGGGGTATTGTCTAAACAAGAAATGTTGATTTCCCATCATGTTCTATACCAGCATCAGTCACATACTTCACTGCCAAGTGGAATAGCACAGCTTTTGATTGCACATCAATTTTTGATGATGCTAATTGTTGAAAACACGAGATCCTCCTTTGAGTAAGGAGCCCAAAGATATGAGACAACCATGTAATCCTGGCACTAGGTATACTGGATATATCTGAGAAGTCACCATAGTCTTTTCTCTATGCTTTGTGATGTAATGATCAATGAAGGCTGTTCCTCAACCAATAAGGGCAACACGTGTGTTCTTATCAGCGGTCTGAGCAACAATAGGATCTGAGAGCTTCTCATATCCAACCAGATCACTAATCTCCAATGTCACATGGAGAGATGCACCAGAATCGAGAAGCCATAGAGGCCCTAATTCATGATGATGATGTTTCCCCTTACACTTAGAGCAGGTAGCAAAATCGGAGTGCACACAGAATAGATTGGTACAAAAATCATGCGATCGAATCATCAACAAATTAAGTACAGAACCCGGGGCGGCGGTGATTATGCGCTCTGGCTGTGAGCAACAATCAGAATTGTGCATATGCCCAAGAAGGCAGGGTACTTGCCTTTTGGTGGAAGGAGCATCCATCTCCTCGAGAAGGGTGTTGAAGTTGACGACCTCATCCCAATTGACTGGTTCAGCCTGAGTGAACTCGCTATCTCCAAACAGGAGATCAAGATTGTTCTGTTGGCTGGTGGCCATCTCGATGTTGGGGATCTCCTTGATACAACTACATTTGGCAGGAGGACCACCATCCAGAGTGTGATTCAAGCCAGAAGCAACTGGAGATGGAGAACGCATGATTGCGTCCTCTTGGAGCATTCTTTTCTCATTGACAATCTTGTCAAGAGTCCGGAAGTGTTCTGCAGTCACCGTCACATCCATCTTCTTGGCAAGCTCGAAGACCTTGCAAGTAGGCTTCTAGAACTTGGTGTCAATAATTCCATTGTTGTTAATGGGAGACTCCTCTTGAACCACATAGATTTTAGGTCCATCGCGAGAGATGTGCGTGACATGTGAGATTGTTGGTGCAGGGATAGATGGAGTGAGCGAGGTGATCAAACTGATAGTGAGAGAGCCAGTGATCTTGGAGACACCATGGACATGACCATAATTAGCCTTGCTCTTGCCCTTGTTGTCCTTGTTCTTCCCACTGTGCTTGCCTCGACGGTTCTTCTTCTTCTCATCAGCCTTATCACCCTGATCGGGTGCAGAGCCAGAGCCCTGTTGCTGATTGGTAAACAAAGGGTTATCGTGCTTGCGCTTGGTATTGAACTTGGCCACATGATTCTGGCTTTGAGACTGCTTCTGAGCGAAATGCATCAAGAGAACGTTGTGAACCACCAAGACTTTGATCTTGTCCTTGTCATAAGTCTGCAGAACAGTCTCTGTGACAGAGGGAATCCAGGCTATATTGAGAATGATCATCACCCTGAGGAACTCAGGGATGCTCAAAGACTTGTTCTCCAGGCGAGTGAACACCGTAGTGATCACCAGCAGCTGTGGATCAGGGTGCAACCCTACATTGTACTTGGTGTTCAACGCAGCTTGGAAGTACGCATACAGGTTGGTGCACTGAGCACCACCATATTGCTTCTTCAGATGCTCTCAGATCTTGGCAGCTGACACTATATCAGTGGTGGGAATGCTAGCAATGACACCTTCAGTCAGATGCAACTTAATGCTGCCTTTGGCTCTGAGGTCATCATGCTTCCATTGCTTGATCTCTGATGCATTGGTAACAACGCCATCCACTCTGATTTGGGTCAGCACAGCTTCAGTTAGCACATATGAGATCCCCTGATGTTACAGATAGGTGTCATAATTCGACTCTTTTTCATCTTATCTTGACATGGATTATCTTATCACAGATCACGGCATCCAACAGTCCGGGCTAGGAGAACAGGGGTCATCTTTATCGATTCAAGGCTGTGCGACATATGCTCCGGAAGGTTCTACTACAACCCATGACCAGCGTTCCATGCGGTACATAGCCCTATGACTCATTAGTTGTAGATATGACTCAGACTGGATTTGGGTATAAATACTGTAGCTACTTGGTTGTATTCTCCAGTCTTCGAATTCACTTCTCTTTTCGACTTTGTTTTTGGGTTGATTGTCACATAATTCGAAGACTCCCCTCATACCCTCCTACCTCATACCTCTTACCACTGCATCCCTCACCGCTACGCCCGCTATATCCTCTTAACCCTTGTCAACCAACTCACCTTTTTACCAAATCATCTAGTTGTTCCCTGCGATCGCAGTGAAGGGTTCATATCGAGCAAACAGCACCAGGCCACGGGTAACGTTGAGCCCGACCCAAGCCTTATGGTAGCTACAAGGAGTGCTGCGGAGACCTTTGGGAAAACGCACCTCGGGATCATCAGGCACGTGAAGAGCTAGGCCCGGGATCTTTTTGCTAGCAAAAGAACCTTTCCTCGAGTGCTTGTACAGCACACAAATTCATCATTTCGTTCCGATTCCCATCGTCGTCTGGGAGTCCGTCCCCTCCCCCCATCATACCATCGTCGCCCGATCTGGCGCATCAAAACAAACCCGGGCCCTCCAACCCCTACCTTGCCCTCCCGCCTCCTGAAGACGAGATCCCCGACCTTGGCGAGTTACCCTCCGAACAACCACCTCCACCTACCATGCCTGCTCCTACCATGTCAGGACATCACCACATCACCCTCGCCGCCAATCCCCCCTACTTTGATGGCAACAAATCCAAGTACCTGGGCTTTGTGGATGCGTGCACCACTTATATCAGTGCCTATTGATCAGAGTTCTCGCTGGACGAGACAAAAATCCTCTTCGTCCTCTCCTACCTCCGTAATGAGACCGGCACAAGCTGCACCGCCTCGAGATGGGCGATGAACTGGAAGCAGCACAATTTCGAGGGTTTCCAAGGAATGAAGGCGGGAGTCACCGCGACAACCTTCCTGGAGGAGCTCCAGAGGGCCTTTGGAGACTCTAACGCAGAACAAGTTGCTGCTGCCCGACTCATGGCCCTTCGTCAGGGCAGGCGGTCCTTTGCGGACTGCATCTCCAACTTCGAAATGCTGGCTGCGGACGCTGGATACAACGTGGTCACAACCACCAATGACCAGGGCGAATACAAGAAGGGGGATCAAGACAATATCCTCATCGAGTTTCTTGAGCGCGGGCTCAGCAGCAAGATTGCGAGCCGCCTCTACAACACCGGCGTTCCCCTGCCCAAGGCATACGGCGCCTTCAAGAACTAGTGTGTCAACATTGAGGCCAATGCCTTGCGCGACCAGCTGTGTAAGGCATCCTATGCGCACTCGACTCCGCGGCCTCCCCCCCAATTCCACCCTCAGGCGGCACCAGCGGCGCCCACACCTGCTCCGACCTGGCCGGCTGCCAACGAACCGGTCCCGATGGAAATCGATCACACCCATGCCCGCGGCCGCAATATCATCTGCTACAACTGTCAGCAGCCTGGGCACATTGCGCAGAATTGTCCGGAGCCCAAGAAGAAGCGCACGTTCTTCAATCGGGCCACAATGCTGGAAGAGATCAAGAACAGGGACAAGGACAACAAGTTCCTCAAGGAGATTGCCGAGAAGCTGCATGAGAAGGGTTTTTGAAGCGCTCCACTCCTCTAGCCAAGGAGGTGGAGCGTCCGGACTATGGACGATTTTCTGTACTTGTTTCAATTAAAGACATGAACGACTCTGCACATACATATACAATCTTGGACTCATTACGTACCAATATTCACGAGTTTCTCATTGCTGATATGGAAAAAGAACGCCAAAGAAAAATAGCGTTAAATAGAGAGTATTTACAAAGTAAAAAGGATCAGAAGGCTGCAGATAAATTAATTTTGGATTCCTACGTATTTATGGCTCGTGGAGAAGGAACCACATCAACAAAGACCGAAAAGGGGAGCATCGCTCCGAAGGCTCAATCCGTGGAAAAGGAGGAAGCGCCTAAGGAATCTGCCGAAATCAAGGTTCCAGAAGCACCCAAACGCACCAGGGTGCCAGATGCCGTCCAGAGGAAATTGGCGGCCAAGAAACAGAAGGGCCCCCAGCCCAGCAGGTTGGCGCAGGAATTGCGCAGTTACCAGGCCAAAAGGAAGAGGCATTCGATGGACGTATATGTCCAGATCACGGGTCTGGACTCAGGGAAAACACGCAGGGTCAAGGCGCTGCTCAATAGCGGCTGCAGTACCTGCTGTATCGATACTGACTACGCACGGGCGGAGAAGTTGGATATCCAGGAGCTCCCACAACCCATTGTGGCTCGTAATGCCGACAACACTGAGAACATCAACGGGCGGATCACGCACTATGTCGACCTGAGGATGAGAATCGGTCCTCATGTGGAGACACGCACGTTCCTTCTGACGTGCTTAGGGAAAGCCCGGATCTTCATTGGTCTTGATTGGCTGATGGAACACAACCCTGATGTGACAATCAACCCAAAAACAAAGTCGAAAAGAGAAGTGAATTCGAAGACTGGAGAATACAACCAAGTAGCTACAGTATTTATACCCAAATCCAGTCTGAGTCATATCTACAACTAATGAGTCATAGGGCTATGTACCGCATGGAACGCTGGTCATGGGTCGTAGTAGAACCTTCTGGAGCATATGTCGCGCAGCCCCGAATCGATGAAGATAATCCCTGAGACCCCTAGTCCGGACCGTCTGATGCCGTGATCCGTGATAAGATAAGTTGTGCCAAGATAAGATAAGATCGTTGATGATAAGATGAAAAAGTGGCCGAACTATGACATTACCCCCTCTCTAGGGTCGATGTCCTCATCGACCAGGCCAATGGGTAAGAAGACGTTCTCGTAAGGGTCGAAGAGCTGTCGTTGGGGGTATGGAAGGCGCTCGTCCCTGGGCTGGTAGCGATGAATGAGATAGTCCCAGTGTCCAGCTTCGAGCGTTGGCAGGAGGCGAATGCGTGTGTCTGGATTTGATTGTTTCCTCTGCCAGTCTCTCAGGACGTCCTTTGCGTGGGTAAGGTGACGTGATGGTTCCCAGGTGTTCTCGCTGTGCGGCCATCCCTTCCATTTGACCAAGTACTGTTTTCCTCGGCCGACTTTTCGCTCTTTCACGATTTCTTCGACTTCCCACTCCTCTGCTCCTCCGATCATCTTGGCCACGGGTCTCTTCTCTCGGCGATGGGGGGGTGGTTCGTGATAGGGTGTCAACAGTGACTCGTTGAACACCGGGTGTCTTCGGTCCGTGTCCGGCAAATCCAGCTTCCATGCGGCCGCTCCAACCTTCTCCAGTATCTCGTATGGTCCCAATCTCTTGTCGCTCATCTTCTTTGATGGTCTATCCGTCTCGATATTTTCCCCTTCTATGTACACCTTCATCCCAACCTTCAACTCCGGAACTTCTTTTCTTTGTTTATCGTAGTATTTTTTCATTTTTTCTTTTGCTTTTTCCAATGCTGCTTTTGCTTCGTCTTGTATTTCTTTGATCCTTTTTACAAATTCCTCCGCCGACTCGTTCCTTGATTCCATCCGCTGCTCCACTCCCTTCCATGGGTGATATCCGTGATTAGCATAGAACGGCGACATTTTGGTAGACGTGTTCATTTTGTCGTTGTATGCGAACTCCGCCATTCCCAGCCACTCCGACCAGTCCGTCTGATGGTAGTTGACGTAAATGCGGAGATAGTGTTCGATCTCCTGATTCATACGCTCCGTCTGCCCATCCGTGATGGGGTGATATGCGGTCCCCGGATTCATTTCCACGCCCAACATCCGATTCGTTTCCTTCATAAAGCCCTTGATGTATCGAGAGTCCCTGTCAGTGATGATTTTGCGGGGGACCCCGTGATAGCGGAAGATTCGGTCCCTGGTTAATCGTGCTACTCCTTCGCTGCTGATGTCAGTACTAATTGGTTCGACATGGATCATTTTGGTGAAGGTGTCACACCACACATGAATTGCGTCATACCCGTTACTGACCGGCAGGGGTCCGATCTGATCCATGGAGATGATTTCCCACGGCGCGTTTGGAACTGCATGCGGGTGCAAACTCCCTGTCCTGGCTCTTCTGGTCTTGGTCCGCTGGCACGCTTCGCACGTCTGGATGTATTTCCGAATTTGGTTTCCCATCCTTGGCCACCAGTAGTTCCTTTCCACCATCTCCTGCGTTCGGTTGATCCCGGCGTGTCCGACCAAAGGGGTGTCGTGGTGTAGTCCGATGATTTTGTCCCGCAACTCCTCGTCCCTTGGTACGTAGAGCTTCCCATGGTACGTGATAAGCCCCTCTTCCTTCTTCCATCCGGCGAGTGACTTCTGCAAGGCCGCCTTGACGCTTCCATCAATTGATCGAGTGGCCTTGATCTCATCGATTAGCTGCTGATCCTGTCCCTCGAATGTGACTTCTTGTGATCGGAAGAACTCAGGCTTCAGTAGCGTGACGTCCTTGTTGTCGTTCTTGCCCTGATCGTGATCTGCTCGTCGGGACAGGAGGTCCGCCTTGCGGTTGAGTGCGCCGGGTCGGTGTCGTAAGGTGAAATCGAACTCCGCCAACTCCGTGATCCATCGTGCTTGCCGTCGATTGAGCTTCTGCGGCTTCCGAAAGTACTCGAGATTCTGATGATCGGTGAAGATCTCGAACGTTTCCGTGGCTCCCAGGAGCAACTGCCTCCATTCGTCAAGTGATAACATGATTGCGAGCATCTCCTTGTCGTAGATCTCATAATTTCGCTCGGTTTCGGTCAGTGCGTGCGAAATAAATGCGATTGGGCGCCAAATGCCGTCTTGGTTTTGGCTCAAAACTGATCCTGTTGCCCCTTCCGAAGCATCGGCTTCCAGACGATATTGGCCAGTGTCATTTGGCAGTGCTAAGACGGCATCCTCCGCGATTCTCTTCTTTAACCCATCAAACGCCGCATGTTCATCCGGACCCCATGACCATCCTGCCTTCCCTGTCAGCCGCGTCAACGGCTTGGCGACCTCCGCATATCCCCGAACGAAACGTCGATAGAAGTTTGTGAATCCAAGGAAGGCTTGGACTTGTTTGACGCTCTTTGGTTCCGGCCATTCCATCACACCCTTGATCTTGACAGGGTCCATCCGCATCGAGTTGTGTCCAATGATTACACCCAGGTATTCGATTTCCGTGCGTTCAAACTCGCACTTTTCCGGCTTCAGGTATAATTTGTGCTTTTGGAGCAACTCGAGTACCCGTTTGGTGATTCGTCGATGTTCATCCAGATTTTCTGTGAAGATTAGTATGTCGTCCAGATACACTACCACATGTCCCTCGTTGATCAGTTCCCGGAGTATGTCGTTCATCATGTTTTGGAAAGTTGCCGGGGAATTTGTGAGACCAAAGAACATAACCAAGGGCTCGTAAAGTCCGCGGTTTGTGCGAAACGCAGCCTTCCACTCATCGCCCTCTTTGATCCGTACGTTGTTGTATCCCCACCGGATGTCTAGCTTGGTGAAGAACTTGGCGCCGCACAGGTTGTGGACCAGTTCGGAAATCAGCGGTAGCGGGTACCAATTTCGGATCGTCATCTCATTCAGCTTCCGGTAATCTTGAACAGGCCGTAGCGAGCCATCCTTCTTCTTGACAAAGAAGAATGCCGATGCCATGGGTGATTTTGATGGCCTGATTCGTCCGCTGGCTAGGTTCTCTTGTAAGAACTCGTCGAGTTTGACCTGCTCGTTTCTCGATAAGGGGTACACCTTGCAGTCCACTGCTTTGGAGCCTGGTTTGAGCTCGATCGCATGATCCCATGCCCGTCGGTCCGGTAGCGAGTCGAATGATTCCTTGGCGAATACTTTGGCGAATTCTCGGTATTGATCTGGAATCTTTCCCTCGGTCATTCTCTCCTTCTCCTTTTCCGCTTCTTCTGCGAATTTCTGCGCCGGCGTTTCCTTCAGCCGTAGGTCTACCTCCTTTCCAAAGTCGATCAACAAGATCGATTCTCCCTCTTCCAGATCCGGTGCACCCGCGTCCAGGTCAATTGCATCCATGTCGATCATCGCTTGGTGCTCCTCGTGACCCCTCATTTGACATTGCTCTGGGCATCGGCTGAATCTCATTGTCTGCTCCTGCCAATCCACCTCGGGGTTGTGTTCCGTCAGCCAATCCAGGCCGATGAAGATCCGGGCTTTTCCCAGACACGTCAGAAGGAACGTGCGTGTCTCTACATGAGGGCCAATTCTCATTCTCAAGTCGACGTAGTGTGTGATCCGACCGCTGATGTTCTCGGTGTTGTCGGCGTTACGAGCCACAATGGGTTGCGGAAGCTCTTGGATATCCAGCTTTTCTGCCCGTGCGTAGTCGGTGTCGATGCAGCAGGTACTGCAGCCACTATCGAGCAGCGCCTTGACTCCACGCGTTTTCCCTGAGTCCAGGCCCGTGATCTGGACATATACGTCCATCGAATGCCTCTTTCTTTCGGCTTGGTAACTGCGCAATTCCTGCGCCAATCTGCTGGGCTGGGGGCCCTTCTGTTTCTCGGTTGCCAATTTCCTCTGGATGGCATCTGGCACCCTGGTGCGTTTGGGTGCTTCTGGAACCTCGATTTTGGCAGATTCCTTGGGCGCTTCCTCCTTTTCCAAGGATCGAGCCTTCGGAGCGATGCTCCCCTTTTCGGTCTTTGTTGACGTGGTTCCTTCTCCACGAGCCATAAATACGTAGGAGTCCAAAAATAATTTATCTGCAGCTTTCTGATCCTTTTTATCTTGTAAGTATTTTCTATTTAGAGCTATCTTTTCCTGGCGTTCTTTTTCCATCTCGGCAATAAGAAAATCGTGAATATTTGTACGTAGTGAGTCTGAGATCGTGTATGTAGATGAAATATTGTCCGTATCTTTAATCGAAACAAGTACAGAAAATCGTCCATAATCCGGACGCTCCACCTCCTTGGCTAGAGGAGTGGAGCGCTTCAAAAACCCTTCTCGCGCAGCTTCTCGGCAATCTCCTTCAGGAACTCGTTGTCCTTGTCCCCGTTCTCGATTTCCTCCAGCATTGTGGCCCGATTGAAGAATGTGCGCTTCTTCTTGGGCTCCGGGCAGTTCCGCGCAATGTGCCCGGGCTGCTGACAGTTGTAGCAGATGATATTGCGGCCGCGGGCGTGGGTACGATCGATTTCCATCGGAACCGGTTCGTTGGCAGCGGGTCGGGCCGGAGCGGGTGTGGGCGCCACTGGTGCCGTTTGGGGACGGAACTGGGGAGGTGGTCGTTGTGTGGGGTGCCCATACGACGCTTTGCGCAGCTGGTCACGCAGAGCATTGGCTTCGATGTTGATGCACCAGGCTTTGAACGCTCCATAGGCCTTGGGCAGAGGGACACCGGTGTTGTAGAGACGGCTGGCGATCTCGCTGCTGAGTCCGCGCTCCAGGAACTCGATGAGGATATTATCCTGGTCCCCCTTCTTGTATTTGCCTTTGTCGTCGGTGGTGTCAACCACATTGTAGCCTGCATCCGCGGCCAACATCTCAAAGTCGGAGATGTAGTCCGCGAAGGACCGTTTGTTTTGACGCAGGGCCATAAGCCGAGCAGCGGCGACTTGTTCCGCATTGGAGTCCCCGAACGCCCTC